ATGTTTATAGTATGATTGAACACTTTTAGTAACTTAACCTCATAAATTTATTTGAAAGTTGTCAAAAGAAATAACTACTTTTTTGTACAAATATAATTTTTACAAATATAAATATATATATATATAAATAATATTAAAAAAAATTAAAATAAAATATTAAAAGATTAATGTAAACATAATTTAATACTATATTTTGATAGAAAAAAAACAATAATCAATAATAAAAAAATTGAAAATATAACCTTAAATTATGACAAAAATTATTTAATTCAATATAAATATTATATATTATGTCAGGTTTAGATTTGTTAAGTACATATATGTCTGATTCTGAAGATGATGAAATTAATGATAAGAATAAATCTAATGAAAATTTTAAACGGTATTTATATATTGTGATTTTATTCAATAATTATTTATTAATAACTAGAAATACTTTTAATTTAAACATATATATGTAATTCATTTATGAAATATGTATTTTTATTGAAATATATAAATTTATTTTTTAACTTTCATAAAAAAATTTTACAATTTTATAATAAACTTTATTAAAAATATAATATAGATTATATACATATTATCAATATAATAATTTATATAATGAAATATAATTTTTTTAATTTAATTTATATTTATATATATTTATAAACATAATTAAATTAATTATTTAACAATTTAATTATTTTATATAATTTATTTTATTTTTTTCTTCTATTAATGTTTAAATTTCAAATATTTAAATTCTAAATATAATAAATAATAAATATAATAATAATAAATAATAAAAACGACACATATTTATATGCATATAAACAAATAAAATAGATTTTAATAAAGTCAAAATATTTGTATATTAGAAAGTTATTTATAAAATATATTTTTTATTTTTATTTATATATTATTTGTTTATATTTTTTTAAAATAATTTCTAATACATAGATTACCTTTACCTGGAAGTATTATATCATGGAAAGGTGTTCCTCATCATGAAGAAGTATATGATGATCCATTGCAACATGATGGAAGAGTAAGAAGCTTTAAACATGAACGTGGTAACTGGGCTACATTAATTTATATTAATTGTAAATATTTAAAAATATAAATAATATTATTTCAATTATAAAGATAAATTATAATCATTATCTTATATTTTAGATGAACCTAGTGAAGCTATATTTTCATGGATATCTTCAGTTTTAGAAGAAATAAATATTAAATGTAACATATTTTCTGAACAGTTTCATATTAGTCTAACAAAAACTTTAATTTTAAAATTTCATTGGATTGAATCTTTCATAAAAGAAACTAAGAAATTATGTGAGCAGACAGATCAATTTGATTTGAAGCTTTTAAATGTAAAAGCATATATTAATGAAGAAAATACTCGTACATTTCTTGGAATAGAATGTGTTGATTGTAATGGAGTTCTTGCTCGTTTTGTAGAAAATATTAACAAGTTTCTTGCTGAGTATGATTTACCATCTTTTTATGAAGTAAGTAATATATATTTACAT